TAGTACTGGTACTGCCACGATGAACTCATTTCTAATGCAAATATAAAACGTATAGTCAGCATTGGAGTACGCGCAGTACTTGCATTCGTGCAAGTTATCATGTTTGTGACAATTCTGTAATAACATTTTGATTCTAGTATTACGAACAGCTCACCTGATCAACTTCTGAAAGCAGGGTAACAGTCACTGTGCTATTAATGTTCCTAATGACTTCGTTAAACATTTTCATTGTCAAGAAAAAATACACAGCGTGGGAACAACAAAGCGGAACTGGGTCTGCACTGCATCTAATGGTGTATATGACCAAAAAAGCTTTTAGATCGATGACAGCGACTATTTCTAAATCATGCAGGGTGCTGCTATAGAAACTGTCAATCATCAGATAATGAAAGGTTCTTCTCATCTCCTGAAATGACCACCGGCGGCAGCTTTTCATTACCATCGTGTCCCAATTTCTGACAGTTTCATTCCACAATCTTTGCTATTGATGCCATTGTTAGGGTGACTGATTCAACAAGGCCTCTTTCAGCACCTATTGCTGTGGGCTAAAAAGGACAATATGGTGAACCCGGTTCCACTTTGTGCTTTTCACGCTGTGCGATGTTTTTTCGATAAGTAAACGAATTAGTGAAATGGAAGCTGTTACTCTAACCACTGCTGCAAGCCATTACAACAGGTTTGTTATTATACAGGTACCTTCATTACTGATCCTACTTCACGCTGAATTATAATTCATCCGACTCAACCTCGACATGGGTCCGTTATGACCTAAGTAAACAGTTGCAAAATCACCTATTTCCATGAGCGCTTTTAAAAGCGGACGTTCATTAGTGGAGCCAATCCTCGTCAACTATTAGCGATGTCTCTTAAGTCTTCACTCAGCCAAACGAATTCATAAGAGTGGAAGTTTTATGAGGTTTTCGATACGAACAGATATCACTGTCGAGTGGTGGGTAAGCACCGTTTTAACGAGAGCAAACGTCCCTGATATAGTTCTCCTGTTAAGTATTGTAAAAGTGCACCAAAGCGTAACAATACAACGAATGTGGCCACCGACCAACCGAACGCTGCACAAGTAATCACTCGGCTTGATTAGCAACAAACCCTAACCATCTCTACCTAGCGCAGCAAATTACTGTACCACTCAGTTCCGCAAAAACAAAGCTATCATATACAACTTCCAACACTAGAACCATCAGTGACTGATCAAAACAGATACTGATGTTAAGGAGTTAATCAACCATATAAAACACCGATATTATGTGGGGTCGATCTACATTAGCGTAACAGTAATCGAATCATCGCTAGTTCTTGTTCCAGCACTACTGTAACACTATTAAAGTCAGTATTATCGATGGTTAAATAACAAGAATTAGTACTAGTACAGAAATAGTACAATCAAGACTAGTGCGATTTGTATGGTACCAATATTACTACTCCCAGTAGCAGCACTTTGTACCAATACGAATACTTGTCGATCAGCCACAGATAATGATAATATTAAAAGCAGCATAGTAATGCTAACATTAACGCTACTGGTAATCATAGTATTGCTCCCCTACTCGCATCAGCAATGTAAATCAAATACTCATAAATCACTATTGAAGTAGGGCTCTAATACAAATACAGGAATTAACAGTAATGTTATACTGACATTGGCAGCAGTGCTCATGGACAGTACTCTCAATGCTAACGTCAGTTTATTTATTAAAAAGTAATCAAATAAAATTAATTAATGCTTACTGGATGGCATTTAATCAAACGAATGACATTTTCAATATCTATGAATAGTAGACATCCGGTTTTATGACTTGATGTATTATTTCGAAGCTTATTCAGTTGGTACCTTGTTTCTCCAGTTGATCAGCGCGGAGGAATTCGCTTCCTCATCCGTCGATGAATTGTTTCGGTCCGCTCCTTGATGTGTTCCCTTCCGATACAGTGATACGTAGGCTGGGGTGGAGAGTGACGGCCTCGTATTGGATGGTGTCCCACGATTTGACCGCAGATCGTGTTCAGAAACAGCTCTCACAGCTTTCGGACAGACGATTGGCACTTTACTGTTCAAACGGCGTTCTGAAAGATTTTCATAACTGATTATAACCCCATTAATGCAAGTGAGATTGAATTTCACCCACCTACAGGCACCGGTTCCGTCACAGCCCCTGTCAATGGGCGACAAAGACTGCTAGGGACCACCTGAACTGCTCCTCGGGCCTGTTGCGAGGGTCGAACGCCGTTGCGCAAAAATCGGACCTCCCTCGACTGACGCTGCGATTCTATCTGCGACCTTCGAATCTGTTCATGATGATCTAAAAATGATCATTGCATTAGAAAAGAGCATAGAGGTCGTGGTAAAAAGCAAATAACATAATCTTTACCATTACACGATTAAAGAGACAACTGCCTTAGAGCAGATCATTTGAACATATTTATGTGATTAATTTAATACGTTACGAATCTGGCTAAAGCTGGAAACCAACAAACATTCCGCAAACACGCAAAACTGGATCCACGCATAGAGACCGCAGCTATCAACCTGTATTGGAACATGCTAACTACTTTAGACAAGTATAGACATACTCTGGAAGGCCTAAACGACGAGTGGTGTGCTCCACGCATGACCGTCACTAGCGAGGTCAGATCGTGTGACTACCGTTGTCTGTATTGTTCGGCGTTGTACATGATGTTGAACGGGATTAGCGGGCATCACATCGGACGGCGTGGTGGCACAGAATATAAGAGGGTCGGCTCCGAACTCGGGAGATATCGGCAATCTTTGTCTTAATCATGAACTCCCATGAGCAAGTAATTTACAACCAAACATGTGTTCAGTCGGTAGAGCGTCGAACTCAAAACCAAAAGGTCCCGGGTTCTGGCTTTTGTCAGAGTCATTCGCCTTTTTCCTTCCGAAGACGATAAATGATTTCCGTTCTGTGAAACGAAAAACGAGACTGTACTCTACGCTTGTCACATAGCTGCTGTCAGTTCTGCCTTTAAAATATGGCACTCCAGGCTAATGACATGGAAATGTTACCAGAGCTGCATAACTAACTTCAAGAAAATAACGCTGTCCGAATGATTCGAATCTGAAAGA